GCCTTGAGCTGAGGGACAGCGCCCAGGCCCAGAGTTTAGGCCCCATGACTGGACCCCCAAAAAAACAAACAAACAAAAAAAACAGTTACAACAGTGAACAGCACCTTGTGCAATTGGGATTTTCTGTTTTACTGAACTCTAGTTCTCTATCAAAGCATGAATGTAATATTCCTGCAGCCCGCGCCACATAAACCCACTTTACCTCTGGTATCTGAAGAGCTCTGTGGTTTGCAGTTACCACTTTGGACAATCTCTGGATATGTTCATGAAGAACCCTGAAAAATCCCCAAAATGTAAATGTAAATACACATTTCAGAAAACAAAGATACATAGTCATAATTGACATTTTTGAAACCAGTTAACACATTTTAGACATTTCTAGATACAGATTATAATTACATCTAAGACCCTCTCTTAACCTAAGCATTCTTTCCTGTCAAAGCAAAACAAAAACCCACCTTATTATTTATCTAGGCATGCTGGTACATGTAATCCCAACATTCAGAAGGCTGAGGCAGGAGAATCCCAAACTCAAGGTCAGACTGGTCTATACAGTGAGATCCTTCCTGTATCTTAGAAATGCTGAGTGAGCTGAGGGGGCACTGCTCTCCTCTCCTGGGTTGGGATGGCCCCCAGTGAGGACATACCACTCAGGAGACAACAGTAGTGAGGGGAAAGGCAAACAGTGAGAGGAAAGCAAGAGGACTTGAGATTTTACCTATAGAAGGAACTCTATCATTGTCCAACCCCTCATTTTGTAGATGAGATAATTAGGATTAAAAAGGTAAGGAACTGCCTTAGTTGAGAAGGGGCCAAACTATGCTTGTTGGCTTCCAGTGCTCTATGCAGACACTTTGTTTGCTCTTGACAGACACTCTGTTAAGGCTGTAGAAATGCCATAGAGAAATGGGCAGAAAGAAGGTACTCTCTGCACTAAATTCCCAACTCCTTATCCCGTGCCTGATGCTCTAGAGAAACAGACCTGAGTGAACTAACAGCCTGGAAGGCTATGCACAGCTAAGAAGGCAGGTTGCAGTGATCCCAAACCTCCTAAAATTTCTGTAGGGCTGGGGTATGGCACAGTAGGACAGCATTTGTCTAGATGTGTGAGGCCCTGAATTCCATACCCAGCACAACCAAAAAGAAGAACAAAAATCGGTTTAAAAAAGAACAAACAAACATATAAATCACTTAGTAATTTCCCTTGAGGTCTTACTTAATGAGCCTCAAGAGTCACTGGATGAAGCAAGCCACTGTTAGTACTGGGAAGCATGCTAACAACTTTAACTGAAACAGAAACAGTGCTCAGAAAAACTGTGTATCTCATCTATACTAGCAATACCCCAAAATAACCAATGTTACTATTCCAGACTATTTTTCTGAAATGACTATTCATTAAACTCATTAAAATACTGGGGGCTAACCTCAGGGTCTTTTTGTTCTCTACCACAAGCTATATCCCTACCCCCTAGGATTACTTTTTAAAGTAGCTTTATTAATACATAACTCACAGACTATACAATTCCACATATCTGTTGATATTCAAATAAGTAACAATTCCATTAAATATATAATAAGCATATGTACTATAACACTGACATCATGAATAAAAGTATCATTTCCTCTCTCATGGAGGGTAGAAAATGATGAAACTTATCAAATGATCACACAAACCTGTCATCAAGAACGGGAGAGAATCTGCTAAACACTGTACAGAACTGGGGGTGGGGGAGGGGAGTGCAGTTGTGGAGGTGGGAGGAAAGGGATGGTAGGGGAAAAACAAAGGAGGAGGCAACAATGCTTGATAAGAAATATACTCATGAGCCGGGCGCTGGTGGCTCATGCCTGTAATCCTAGCTACTCAGGAGGCTGAGATCTGAGGATC